GGCTGGCTTTGGACAATATTTCAGGCACTGTAGAAAGAAGTGCAATTCTGGAAACCAAGTGACTGTATGAAAATAAGAACTTTTGAAATTACCACAACAGACAACCTTTTTTGATCTAAAATAAAAGGGTTTCTAGTCTTTATGGCTGCAAGGAAGAGCTGGATAATGTACCCAGATACAGTCTAGTAGCTTGAACTCTAGATAGAAAAGAAATTGAATTATATTTTTAATTCTAAATTAATCTTTAAAATAAGATCTGATAATAAGGAATTAAGAGAGAACTGATTCCTGAATTTCAAAGTATCCATTACCACTATTGGCATGTTTTCTCCACTCCACAATTTCCCAGAGACTACAAGACGATCTGAAGAACCGCTGCAGACTTTCAATAAAAACTTCCCCCGTCAGTGGAGAAAGATGACCCAGTTTTAAGTGTGTCCTTGCTCTGAAGCACCTCCCACATCCAGGGCACAGTCAAAACCAACAGAGGCCATATAACAAACAAACAAAGAAAAAACAATAAATGAATAAATAAGTAAACACACACACACACACACACACATATATAATTCTGAAAAGAGTGGGAAAACCCAGTATTTCAGATTGGGTTTACTTGTTTTAAAGCACTTCTATGCACGTATTGTCATGGATGAACCAGCAGAAAACAGAGATATCTTAACAGCCTCCAGAGAGAGGATGGTATTGACTCTTAAGAACGTCGCAGGCATCTTTTCATGAAAATCCTCTCCTTAGGATTTTTACCTCCTGAAAAGCTGAGAGGCCTCAGGAACAAAATGTAAACAATAGTTACCTCCTGCTGTGGAATGCAACAGGTGGATCTTTGATTGGTCCATCTTGGATGTTTTTAATTAATGGCCAATCAAAGCCCAGCTGGCTTGAACAGAGAGTCTGGGACACCTGCCTTTGTTATAATTTTCTTTTTTATTTTTTGCCTAGCCTTCTGATGAAACTTTTTCTTCTATTCTTTTAGTATAGTTTTAATGTGATATATATCATAAAACAATAAATAAAGCCTTCTGAAATATGGAGTCAGATCTCCGTCTCTTCCTTCAACATAAGACCCTTATGAACACCATCACATAAGAATTAAGCACAGGGAACGGGACCTCCTTTGCCTGATTGCCTGGCCTGACCCACAAAGTTTCAGAAGGCTTGCCAAGGCTGTGCTGTAGGTAAGGAGAACTAGACTGAACTGAACATGAGCAGTCTCCATGACACAAAATTACATCTAGATTTCTTATAGCTGGGGAAAAACTGAACTTCATCATCCACAGCACCAGATCAAATAAGAGCGTGTAGCCATGCTAGCCATGTAGGCTCTCATCAGAGCTGAAACTGCCCTACAGAAAAGATAAGGACTGTGATTTTTGTATCCTCAGTATCACTATTGATGATCCTCAAGGACTAGACTTCTGTCATGGTTTGACACTGGCACAATGCCCATGCCCCCATGAAAATACCCTGGTTTCTGCTGTGAGATGTGACCAGGAATAAGCAAAGCAGCCTCTCACTTAGAAATAAAGAAGACTTTATTAACTAAAATACAAGAGAGGGGAAAAAAACAAAAACACACAAGGAAAATGAAAACTTCACAAATACACCTCCTCCTCTCCAATTCTCCAATACAATACATTCCCCAAATCACCAACTCTCGATCCGGCACCACCCTTCAAACAATCAATCTTCAGTTCATCAAGAGGAGGAGTCCTTCTTGTGTCATGGGCTTCCGGTCACACGCAGCACTGCCCGGAGATCATTTGCCATCATGACATCTTCCTTCCAGGCCCAGTGCCCTCACCACTGCGCATGGACCAGGGCTGCTTCTAGGGTTCCTCTTTTAAGGATGCCTTATTTCATTCCAAAAAAGGCACACTTTTAACTTCGGGACATCTGCCCCCCCCACATTTTTTGCACCCCCTGGGGCCAAGGGGTACACACACTGAACCCTCCTGGTTCTGAGGTCCTGCACCCCCTGGAATGCAGTCTCTGTATCACAAGGAAACAGTCCATGGCTATACAAAAGAGTCCAGCAAAAATGACCCTCCATCTTCTCCATTCCTCCAACATCTCTCTCTGGCCTAGACCTTCATCACTTGCCCATTTCCTCCTTCATTCTCTACTCTTTTCTCTCTTCTAGGAAGGGTTAATGTTCTGTAAAGTTTTCATTGTCCACAAAGGGTTAAAAGCTCCTACAAGTGGTAGGACACATCGCTGCCTCCTTCCCCCCACCCTTTGCCGCAGATCGGCTGTGCCGGCAGCACACAATATCAAATTTCAAGATAATAGTCCCAGGCAGGGCTCTGTCTCTGTCTCCCAGAAAGGGGGGGGCGATACCTCTCAGTAGTTCTTCGATGCTTCCACCCTCGGCCCCTCAGGGTCAGGCCCACCTCTCCCAGGCCGTGTGGCTTTCCCCTGCCCCGCCCAGCAGTCGAGAGCTGGCCAGGGGAGATCTGACCGGCTTCCCTCTCTGGAAATCCAAAGAGAATCTCCCAGCGCGGAGCCCTGCCTTGTGTTCTCAGAGGCGGATCCAATGTCCCAATGGCCAAACCAGATGCCAATATTAAAATCTGAGCACCCATTGGCCTGACCACAGCATCCCAGAAATCCCATTGCCTGTCAAACCACCACACCTTCACGAGAGAAGCAGTGGATGTCCTGGCTTTTCAGGACATGGGGAACTGTGGGAATCCTTAAAATCAGAGGGTTTTGGGAAAGCTGCAGAAGGCAGGCCTCAGAGACAGCAGAACTGCGATTAGAGCTAAGCAGTAGCCGTAAGATTTGTCAGCAGAAAAATTATATACAAATTAGAAAAATAAGGACCAATAGAACAATGGTTTTAGTATTAATGCTTGTCTAGAATAACTCCCTAAGCTACAGAAGAGTATTTCTAGTGAGATATTAGGAAGTTTTAAGCTTAATAATGGAGCTCTCTGCATTTTGTTTTAAGACTTACAAGTAGATATTGTGTTTGAAATAAGCAAGCATTGTTTTAACCAAAGGTAGGTGTGCTTATAGTGGTTGGATGGAACTACTGTCAATATGCTTTTGCTTTGTATGATTAGTCAAAAAAACTTAGTAAGTTGTAACATTAAGATCTTTGTCTGCTGCGGGGATGTGAGCTGCTGGCATCTTCCCATTGTCATAAACATGTAATGAGATTGATGCTAGAAAATAAAACAGCTTGAGACACATTCATCAGCAGTCCCATCCTGTTTGTGATTTGTACATAGCCCCCCCGGCCAGCTGTGATAAAATATTTTAAGAAGAGAAAAGAATTATTGTGCAGTTATAAATATGCTGAGATAAGAGCAGAGTGAGAATATATGAGCGGAAAAACTCTGGAGACACCAAGGTCCGTGAAAAAGGAGGGGGAGGAGGAACTCCAAGCACTGGAGCTGGGATTCCTCTGCAGCCCATTGTGCAGCCCATGGTGAAGCAGCTGTGCCCCTGCAGTCCATGGAGATCCACCTGCAGCTGGTGGAGGAGCCCCATATTGGAGCAGGTGGATGCCTGAGAGTTGGCTGTGAAGGCCTCTGGAAGGCCTGTGCTGGTGCAGATTCCTGGCAAGGACATGCAGACCTATGGAGAGAGGTTCCCACACTGGAGCAGGTTTCCTGGTAGGACTTCTAATCACATGGACAACACAAGCTGGGGCAGGCTCTGTCTGCAGGACTGCACACTGTGGAAAGGGACCCACATTGGAGCAGTTCATGAAGACTTTCTGTGGAAAGGACCCCATGCTGGTGCAGGGAAATTACTCCTCTTCCTGACCAGTGGCAGAAACAACCTAGGATGAGATGAACATAACCCCCATTGCTGTCTCCCTGTGCCACTAGTGGGGGTGGAAGTGAGACCTGGAAGGACAAAAGGGTTGGGGGAAAGGTGATTTTAAGATTTGCTTTACTTCTCATTTCCTGTTCTGATTTTGATTGGCAATTAATTCAGTTAATATCCCCAAGTCAAGTCCATGACAATAATCTGTATGTGAATCTCTCCCTGTCCTTAGCCCAAGTCAGGAACACGTTGATTTGTTTTTCCTCTCTCCCGTCCACTTGAGAGGGGAGCCTAGAGTTGTTTTGGTGGGTATCTGGCATCCAGCCCGGGTCGGCCTACCACACCAAGGCAATTACACCCTCAAAAACAAAAAAAGAAAATCCCCACTTTGTGAGTTTTACTTTGTAATGGACTTCAGGTCCAACTTCCAGTGAAAAATACTAAACTTGAAACTATAGCTCCAGTTTTAGCAAAATTCTTCTGTGGGTAGTTAGATATCTCAAAAACACGTGTCCAAATTACTTCCCCATGTCATAATTCAAAAGGATGCCTTTCCTCTGACTTTGCTTTATCTGTGATTAAAAAAGAGCTTTTTACTCTAACATAGAGTATCAAATATTTTAGTTAAGCATCTGGTTACTTTCTGAACAACAGTCTATTGTAGGTAATTCTCAACACAGACATGGTTGAATCACCTTCCCCCACTTCCCCTTTTTTAAAATCTAAAGAACAGTAAATATTTGGAAAAATAAAGAACTATGCACAAACTGAAGAGAAGGAGAGGAACCAACAACAAAAAACTAAATATATTCTATGTAATTAACAAAGTTATCCTCCTGAAAAGTTTTTAACTAGCTAAAGATGTTTCCTCTGAAATACCATTTTTATTTTTGACAGAATAGTAATTCTTTACCAGTAAAACAGAAAATAGTACTCAATCTCAATCATCTGTTGTTTTCTGACCAAAAAGTTAAGAATATAAGTTGCTTTTTCACGTGCATGATCATTCATAATACCTCTAAAATAAGTTCATATGAGCTATGACAAGAAGAAAATATAAACAATTTATAAGATTGTGGAAATAACAAAGATTACCCCATTCAGACAAATTTCAATTAAAATCTTTTTGAATAGAAAGGGAAATTGTCGTTTCTGTATATTTTGCATAATAGAGAAATGCTGTTATACCAAGAAAAAAGTCATAGTTCATATGTAATAAACAATTTATTTTTAAAAGTTTAATAATTCAGCAAAAAGTACACAAAGCTTTCAATTTTGCAACTAAAACTTTCACCCAGAAGCAATTATGTTAAAAGAGGTACAGAGACCTCACTGTATACCCTGGCATGTATAGATTACCTTGCAAAAAATTGAGTTGTCTATGTTGTAGGCCAATTGCTTTCTTTTTGTTTTTAACAACTACTTGGAGGATGGTGAAAAAAAGTTTAAAAATACCCTCTTCTACACAGCTCAAAGAGTTGTTGCAAATTAAACATTATTTAAAGAATTTATCAAAAGCATGAAAAAGATTTCAAGTTTTTTTTCATTTTGACTTCACTATATTTTCACGTGGAAATATGAACTCATAGCGGAAATACCAAAATACAGGCAATTTTATGATATTTAACACTAGCATCTGTTACAATTTTAATGCACTGACTAGTTGTTGGGGGGTGGATGGGTTTCTTTCTTTCTTTACTTACAGATTTTTTTCCAATAAGTTTCTGGGAAACTAACTACTGGGTACTTGTGGGTACTGAAGAAAAAAGAAGTGGTCAAGGTTGGGAGGGGAGTATAGCATCTGGCTACACTTCTTTTCTCTGGGAGCTTCTCTTCGAGGAGAGAGATACCACGAGATTTGGGGCAGATAAAGGATGGGACTGGAGGCAGCTGAAGTCTCACTCTCTCTGGGCTTCAGAGGATGATGGTCGGACCTGCGGCTTGGGGAAAAGAATTTGCTGTCACTACTATAACCTGGCTGGGAGCTGCCTTTCTTCTGTTGCTGGGCCCTGCATCCCCTGCCCTGCCAGGACGCCCCACAATTCCAACTACTGCCACGGAGTTTCTGATAGATCTTGTCCACCAGCCAGGGATTTCTGCTCATTCCTGCCGGCCCAGCTTGCTGCTTCCGAGAGTCCTGCTGGGACCAGCTGCTCCAGGGGGTTGGGGAAGCACAGCCTTTCTTCCATCCCTTCCCATCTCAGACAAAGCCGCCATTACCGTGTGCTCCCCAAGCCCGCGCAGGAGCGCCCCCTGCAGCCCCATAGGGATCACCACACCTGCGCTGCCCACCGGAAGCCACCAGCGCCCCTGCCGGCTGTGACCGGAACTGCACCAGAGGGGAAAGTGCCAGTGGCCAAGAAGGACACCGTCACTGGGTTTCTGGTTCTGTTTGTTGTTAGTGACGTAGTCATTGTTGTTTTGTTTGCCTTCTTATACATACTAGTAAAGAATTGTTATTCCTATCCTCATATCTTTGCCTGAGAGCCTTTTTATTCAAAATTATAATTCAGAATGAAGGGGTTTACATTCTCCATTGCAAGGGAGGCTCCTGTCCTCCCTAGCAGACAAACCAAGACAAATTTTGGCACCCAATGTGGGGCCCAAGAGCACTGAGAGAAAAAGGGTGACAAAGGAGTAACAGTTCCTGAGTAACCTATTTTTTTGTATGCTATTTTGTTGTGAGGATATAGAAATCTTGTTAGGTCGAGCAATGTGGTCTAGCTTACCCTGGTTTGGGTAGCATCAGGTCACGGCTATATTTCTCCCATTTGCAGCCCCTTATCTAAATATGGGTCCTATAACTAAAGCTAGTGTGGCTGTTATCAATTTTGTTTTATGGCTTGATAAGGTGAGGAATTTGTGGATTTTTAACTTCCTCTGGAAGGTGGGCATATGGATACAAGTCTACAGACTAAGTGCATGTTTTTGGGATCAATTTAATACTAGTACCTACTGTGAGGAAATGACAGTGGGAGAAGTTTTCTCCCAATCCTTCAAACTTTGTGCCTACTCCACCAGCTTTTGAAGGGTTTGATTTTTGTCTAGATACTAACCAAGTTGCTGATAGGCCTAGTCTATTTAGCATTCAGAGATAAGGTGAGGTCGACTTGGATAACTACACAGACATGTTTTGACTATTTAGAATTCAAAGAAGAAAAATAATAGAATATAGGAGACAAGTGTATATCAGGTAAAGGACATAAAATGTTTCGCACATAAACAGTTTTATCTAATCTCACTTAATGTAACTCCCTATACATTCCCCCTTTTTATTTTTAAACCTGATGCTTCAAAACACCATGAGCATGTTCAAAAAATTGCCTGACCTATTGAAACATGGGGAATGATCACTACCTAGGCATAGAAAAACATCTGCAGTTTTTTGTGAAACATATGCCGAGCCATTATCTATCCTCATGTGTGATGAAACACCTACAACAGAAAAGGCATGGCAAAAATGATGAATAATATCCTAAGCTGTTTCACCTGCCAATGCTAATGCAACCCATGACATGAGCAAAGATGTCAACTGCAGCATAAACAAAATTTAAATGGTCAAACTCAGGCATTTTTATAACATCTGTTTGCCATTCTTACAAAAGGAGTAGGTCTCTAAGACTGGTACCATAAAAGTACGAAATATGAGTCATATGACAATCAGGACAAGAAGAAATCATTGATTTTCCTTCACTTTGTGACAACTTCAGTTATTGCCATAGTGCCTAAGTACCTTGGAAAAAATTGATGAAATAACACATTAGGTACCATTTTTAGTGCCAAAGCAGCTATAAGGGAATCCACATTGATCAATTAAGGGAATTCTTGTTGAATCATAAATTCATATTCCCAACAATCATCCTTGTTCCAAGGTACAGCAACTTTTCCAGTTTTTCCCCAATCCATCTGTAAAAACTGTTGTACTTTCCACTGGAACAGGAGAACAAATTTGTTTCCCCTAAAAAGGAATGTCCCTAGTCAAAGTCAAAATAGGATGAGAAGGTAAATGATACATTATTTAACCAGTAAAATAAGATAAAGCAGATTGCAATTTATTATTGTTTTGAAAACCCCATTAAAATACTATTATTATACAGATATCACAATATTTACAGGATCACGGCCTAAGATTTTATGACAACATCTGACCTTGATAATGATATCTGCAAAAACCTCATAGTCCCGAAACTGTTTTTTGAGACCTGAAAGATAAATATACCCATTCTAAAATATATAATTTATCTTCCCAATTATCATTCTATTGACACAACAGTCCACATTATATTTTTGTTCTTTCAAAATAAATTATAACACACCAACAGAAGTACTTGTCCTGCTAACAAGTTTTCAGGTCAAAGCTAATTCAACTTTTTTCATTACCTTTTTTTTACTACATCAATCAAATATCTCTCATCAGTAGAAGTAATCCCTGACAATAATTCAAACCAAGGTTACATTTGATAATAAATTATTCCTAAATATGACCTAATCCAAGCTGTTGCATGAACCAATTTTTATACATCAGTAACAGTTTTAACTTCAATGTCTAATTTTACAGGTTGAGACATAATCCAAGTATTTGTTATTATCAACCCCAAGTATTTCCAAGGCATCTATTTTCATACATTCTCTGAGGCAATAATGAAATCCAAAAGTTTTCAAATTTGTTACAGCACATTGTTCAAGATCTGACAGCTGTTGTTTATTATCAGAACCCAACAAGATATCATCCACGTAATGATTGCAATAGTAATTACTAAATTGCTCTTGCACCTTTGATAAGGCCTGTGCCACAAACCATTAGAATTTTCCATTGATGTTTTTTATTAGATTCAGCATGATTTAAACACAGCATGGTAAAAGCAAATTTTTCCTTATCTTGTTCAGCCAATGGAATGGTAAAAAAGCAATCTTTGAAATCAATGATAATTATCTCCCATCCCTGTAGAATCATTGTAGGTGTTAGAGGACCTGGTTGTAAAGATCCCATTGTAACCATTACAGCATTTATTTGCTGTAGATCATGCAAAAGTTTCCATTTTCCTGATTTTTTTTAATCACAAAAGCAGGGGGATTCCATGAACTAAATGACTCTTCAATATGTCCAGCTCACTCTTCAATATGTTCTGCTACTAATGCTTGCAGGGCAGTAAGCTTTTCAATAAGAAGCAGCTACTGGTCAATCCAGACATGTTTACCTGTTAACCACGTCAGCGTTACAACTGGACTCTTAAGCTTGCATCACAGTGGTCCCTGCTAAAAATCCATAGTAATTTTAACACCCCATTGGGATAAACAATCTCATCCCCATAAGTTACATGAGGCATTGGAAACATAAGGCCTGATGTTAGCTTGTTGGCCATAAGCATTTTTTACATTAATCACAATGGCAGACAGACCTCCTGTAGCAGAGCCACTGAGTTCCATGTTTCCAAAACCTGCTTGAATGAGAGGCCATAGTTGAGGCCAAAAAAGTTGTGAAGGTCTAGCTACATCTCCTCCCATGTTAATAAAACCTGTTATTATTGTGGTATCTGGATAATGTCCCTTGGCTGTAATAATGCATTCCTTTTCCAGGCATTGATCTGTCACTTTTTGAGTCCTAAATACTTGAGGTAGCCCTGTAGATCAAAGACCTCTTTGGTCCAGGTTGTTCTACGTGGAGCAGCAACACAGAGCTCTGAGCAGCTCCCAACACTTTTGAGAGATCTGAGCCCTCCCCATGGACTTCCTCCAACTGCAGCAGACAGTTGAGACAGTTGGCCCCCTCCATTGGGATGCAGCTCCCGCCCCCTTTGCACAGCCTGCGGAAGGGCAATAAGGATGGGGGAGAGGTCCTAGGGGTTCAAGGGGGTCCTGAACAGTGGCGTCTCTCCCTCACACCCGCAGCACCCTCTCCTGGGTGCCGGCTCATCGCAGGGTGGGAAGAGGGAAGGGTAGAGGATCCTCCCGGAAATCTTATCACCGGCATTTTTCAGGCAACGACAAATTACAGATTTAATGAGTTCATCCTTCTGCTCAGTTCGGCGGGGAGTGGGGGGACAAACATCTCAGCTTGTTCTTCAGTTTGTCTCTACTGTGAATGCATTTCAGCAGAAGTAACATATTTTAACTTAGCATTCAGTTTGATTAATTGTTGTGTCAAAGAAAGCCACACAGGCTTAATACAGTCCTTCAGAGACATACCGAGGAGCACCACCTGTCTCCCATGATAGCAGACCTCAGAAAAAGGTCCCCGCAAAAGAAACTCCATCAGACTCCTCCAGGAAAAACACATTCACAAGCTGAATCCCATCTTTCTGCTGTTCCCCATTAACTCCCATTTCTTGTTCTGTCTTCCATATTCTGACACTTAATATTAAAGGCAACACTAGCATCAGTTTCAAAGTCATGATTTTTCCACAACAACACACGATGAAGGGCACGATTAAAAGCTTGAAAACCCTTCTTCTTCAGCAAAACTTTGAAGCAGTTTGTCTTCCCTTATTAACTGATGCTTCATTATGTTCCCCAGTGGCTCACTTTTATTACATGAAAGTATGAAAGATCAGTCTGGACCTACAGCAGCTCCCCATGTTGCTTTACACTTTACTGGAGGTCCCCATTGTTCCCAGTGGCTTACCTGCATTCCAGGTGTCAAAATCAATTTCATCCAGACTGACAACATCTTTCGGCTGCTCTCAAAAGCTACACTGGGGCCCTGCGTCCAGCCGTGCCTCACCCCACAGCCCAACTGTTGCAGCTCTCCCGGCTGCCGGCAGCCCTTCTCAGCTGCTCCCCCATCACTATGGACGTCACCATTTGTTGTAGCTGAGACAGTCATAGTTGAAATGGAGACAATATAAAGCAATACTCCATTTTCAGAAGGCTTCAAACCCGTTTTTGTTCCAGCATGCATGCTTTTTATACATTCTTTAAAAAACTCCTAAGTTTACACTTTACTCACTGGTCAGAAGAGACAAAGTGCTTAGTGGAATAGACAATTGCAGGTTTCTCTTATTTACCCTTCTTTCTTGGTTTCTATGTCAACAACATTGGTAGGAAATTCTTTCATGGGTAAACATGGATCCTCTTACCAAACTTCTTTCTGGCTCACAGAAGTCGCTGAAAAACCTCTCTATATACCTGGATTGGGTGGGGGTTCTGCTGAAGGAAATAGGTGAGATGTAACTTCAGCAGGTGGTGGGAAATCCTCCCCTTGCCTCAAAGAGGGTAATGGTGCAGCAGTGGAACCCACAGACATTATAACCATCCAGGCTCCAGCTCTTCCGCAAGAGCAGTCACAGCCAGCTGCAGTCGCCCCTGTGGAAAAGCAGAAGTCTATGATCAAACCAGCACGCCCAGTTAATAATGATGGGAAACGAGGGAGCTCACAATCCACAGGGGAGCAGGAGGCTGAGATCATCATTGGGTCCCTGTTGTATGACAGTCTCTGTAATATGTGAAAAGACATTGTACAATGGGGACATAAGGCTTATTCAACCTGGTTACTTCAGGTTTGGGACCTGATACAGGTGGGCAACTGAATGGTGGTGAGGATACAGGTGGTCAACTGAATGGTGGTGAGGCAAGGAATTTGGGACTCTTGACCCAGGACTCAGGTATGAATCAGATTTCTGTAAGGGAGCCAGGGTCCCTTTCCCTCTGAGAGTGGCTTTTAATGAGTGTAAGAGAGAGGTTTGTCCACAGGGAGAGAATGCAGGAGCACCATCATAGAATGTGCTGGAAGACTGTTGAGGAAGGGATCCAATAGCTGAGAGAAGTGGCAGTATGGGAGGTCCTTTTTGGGAGGAAAAGGCAGCATGATAATGACCCTGACAAAGTCAAGTGCACAGGGCAAATGTTGTGTGACCTGGCAAAGCTAGGGCCATCCTAGTACACCATTTCAACAATTACAACAATTAATGCCAAGGACAACTGAGAGACAGTGGGTTCTGTCACCAACAGGCTCAGAAATTATGTGAGTATGATCAATGGCCCAATATAGGTTCATGTCTCTGCTGTGATTAAAGGACCTCAAAGCAGAGATGAGGGAGATGCGGGAGGAGATGAGGGAGAGCAGTGCTGCACCAGGGCAAGTTACAGGCCCCAAAGTCAGAGCCCAACGTTCCCCAGTTAGAGACACAGGGTACGCCCCACAAGCTGACCTTTGGTTCTTTCTGCGCAACCATGGGGAAGACATGGGAAGGTGGGATGGGAAACCACTTCTGCCCTGAAGCACAAATGCGTCAGCTCAAGGAGGGAAACAGTAGCCAAGAGAGTTCCCCTAAAGTGAAGGTAGCGTCGGCCTCCCATGACTGAGCTGCCAGGTATTACAGAAGGGGGATCTGTTGGATCCCCTTGAAGGAACCTCTTGAATGAATGTTGGAAGCTGAGGTGAGCCTGACTGGGAAGGAGTGACAGAAACATCCTATTGTGACTGGCCCAGAGGCCCCATGTATTCTGGGCATAGGCTTCCTCTGGAATGGCTATTACAAGGACCCAAAGGGACTCGGGTGGGCTTTTGGAATAGCTGCTGTGGAGGCAGAGAACATTTAGCAGTTGAACACCTTGCCTGGACAATCAGAAAACCCATCTTAAGTAGGACTTCTGAAGGTGCAAGAGCAATGAGCACCAATTGCTACCTGAATGGTGCACCACTGGCAGTACTGGGTGAATCGAGATGCAGTGATCCCCATGCACAAAATGGTCTGTGAGCTGGAGAGCCAAGGGGTGGTCAGCAAAACCTACTCACCTTTCAACAGTTGCATTTGGCCTGTGCACAAGTGTGACAGAGAATAGAGATTGACTGTGGAATATCATGCCTTGAATGAAGTAACTCCACTGCTGAGTGCTGCTGTGCTGAACATGCTGGAACTCCAGTAGGAGCTGGAGTCCAAGGCAGTAAAGTGGTAGCCATTATAGACATTGTCAATACACTTTTCTTCATTCCTCTGGCAGCAGAATGCAGGCCTCAGTTTGCTTTCACCTGGAAGGGCGTGCAGTACACCTGGAACTGACTGCCCCAGGGGTGGGAACACAACCCCACTATCTGCCATGGACTGATACAGGCTGCACTGGAAAAGGGTGAGGCTTCAGAATATCTGCATTACACCATTGTGTAGGGGAATGCCACAGTTGTTGTTGTTTTTTTTACCTTGCTATACATACTAGTAAAGAACTGTTATTCCTATCCTCATATCTTTGCCTGAGAGCCCCTTAATTTCAAAATTATAATAATTCGGAGGGAGGGGGTTTACATTCTCCATTGCAGGAAAGGCTCCTGCCTTCCCTAAGAGACATCTGTCTTTCAAACCAAGACACTGGTGTAAGTTTACCAGGATTTCTGTTGAAAGGTTGTCTTTTCAAAGATTCTTTTTTCAGAAATAAAACTGGATTTGTAGTGTGTCTTGGACATGATATATTATAGCACTTTTTTAGACTGTAGTGTTCTTGGTTATCTATTAAAAGTTTGATTTCTTTTTGATAGTTTGACAGTCATACTACATCTTTATATCATTCCTAGTATTTCACAGATATTTTTTCCTAAATGCAAGCAACTCAGATCAGAGCAAAATTTTTCAAGCTAAAAAGTTAAGATGCTCAGGCATGAATTCAAGATTTATTTTTCAATTCCAAAGCAGAAAATGCACACAAAATGAGCATAGAAACTGCAGGAAATGTTTCACTTTCATAACCCTTTGTTAGATCCCATCACAATTTAGATTGTTGCATGTCTTGCATCCATGAACCAGCACTTAACAAATTCAAACAAGTTTTGCTTGTGATCCTTAAAAGCTTTCTACTGTGTTTTCTACAGGCATTTTTTGTCTCCCTCCCTATCATGTCTTTCTGCATATTTCAGGTTCAGACCTGGTTCACTGGGGCAAATGGAAGAGTTCAGTTACATAGAAGCTGTTGCATAGTACTTCCCTTATTTCCCTCACTGTTTGAGCTAGCCTGGCTTAAAAAGAGGCACACCTTAGCTTTTCAGAAAAAGATAATTTGAGGTTCACGTGTTTTTTTTAATATAACTGGACCCACTCCAACTTTTCAGTTTAGACCATCTTAAAAAGGCACTTACACTGTAATTTCCACATCAGAAGATGAAACTAGTAGTTTTCACTCATGTCACATTTATTCCCATTTTTGTGCTGTTTTCCATACAGACAATGTTGTATTTTATTATCAGTGATACCAATTAATAGAAAAGATTCCTTTACTGTAGGTAAATTAGCATGCTGTCAATTTTAACTAAGCAAAAAAAAAGTTACACAACACTGAGAAAATAGGTTTCCAGGGATCTCCAGTCCCTAAATTAAATTCCTCCTTGAAGCAAAGCTATCCTCATCCATGTGACTGGTGAATTTTTGTTGCACAGAGAGCTTGTACAATGTCCTGAACACTTACATACTCCTTATTTTCTTCAGTAATATGTTTATTTATATTTTGTATTTAACATGACGTCAGTTTCTTTAATCATTTTTCCAGGTGAGATTCCTTGTGATGTTTCATGGCCAGATCACTGAAGCCTTATGACTCAAGGACTGCTCTGCTCCAGCTTTGCCTCTGAAGGAATACTGTCATCCTCGGCAGGCTGGATAAATACAACAAATTTTTTCACCTACTTGTTACTTTAGATTTCTTCTTCCCTTCTCAAAGAGAAGATGCCCAACAGCCCACAACCTTCTGTTCTTTCTCCTCTTCCTTCCAATCTTCCCCAGCCCTTCTTTCTTTCCCACTGACAGTGCAGGGAGACAAAGCACAGGGGTTTTACTCAGCTTGTCACTTCTAAAAATCTTCAGTTTGCTTAGGAAGAGGAGTATTTTCTGTTATATTGTGGGGTCCTTCCCATGGGAGACAGTTTTTTGTGAACTTCTCCAACGTGGTTCTAATTTTCAGGAGTAGCAGTCCTGCCCAACTGGCTGTAACGTTAGTCACTCCTATTGTATTTTTGTATGTTTCAGTTGTAATGGTTTGTACTTTGGTTTGTTCCAGTTTCCCCGTTATAATGGTTCTGCCCCTGTTGCATCCTCCCTCTTCTTTAGTGTCAATCACCCTGCCTCCTCCCCTGTTCCCTATAAACTGTGTGTCACTCCTTCAACCCCTCCCCAGTGTCCTGTCTGTCACTCGACAGCCCAGCCTCTCCCTCTAGAAACTTCTACCAAGGGCGTCAAGTGATAGGTTCTGGCACTGCGGCCCCTCCCCCAGATTACCCTAATTGGTTTCCCTAAATGCCTGTTCCCCTGCTCCCCACACCCTCCTGTAACCCCACTGGCAGATGGGCGAGCCTCTCCCCGGTTCCCTCCCTCCTTTATAGTATGTTGCACAGCCCAGTCCGGCATCTTCTGTTGACTGGACCCTTTGGGTTGTGGATTGATTTGGTGCTCTTCCTCAATAAAGCCATACTGAACCCTCGACAGAAGTCCACTCCTTCTTCTACCTTTCATTGCACAGAGCCTCGCAAGGCGAGAGCCTTAGTCGCCTTCCTGAGGAACAGGAGAGTGTCCCCTGCTGCTTGCTGTGTCGGAGCGAGCCAGGGTGACTCCAAGTGGACATTCAGAGGGGCACAGTGACACACTCTCATGGGCAAAATAGTCTTTTCAAACTACATGGCACGGGTCATTTTAGTTCATGGGGTGTAGTTTTTTAAGGATCCTTTGTTCTGGTTTGGAAGCAAGGGTTCCCTTTCTCTTCTCTCTCTCTGTTCGAGTTTCCCACTGGATTACAGCTTTTCAGCTTCCACATGCTCCAGCATGAACACCTTTTCTCACAGGCTGTAAGTGCACTTCTGCAACCCCACATGTACTTCACAAATTACAGGGAAGCTCTTTCATTATAGTCCTCACCATGACTTGTAGAAGCATCTCACATCTGACGCCTGGAGCACCTCCTGCTCTTCCCTCCTTTCACTGACCTTGTTGTTCTCGTGTCTTCACCTTTTCCTTTTCTCTGACATAGGAAAGAATTGGGGTCCGTAGGTTTGGTTGTTATCAAGTTCTATGAGTTGAAAGGTTCTTACAGTGTTGATTCCATCCAAGCTCTGCATTGGGGATTTGCTTGTCATGACCTTTGCCATTGGCCATGTGGTCCCCACCAGCCCAGCACAGGTGGCACCAGCTGCCGCAGTGCCAGCTCCATTCAGCGCCTCTCTTCATGTGGGGCACTGAAAGGAGCAGCTGCTGCTGCTGCCTCTGCCCTTCTGCCCTCAGCATGGCTAGTTAAAACAGCCAAGCAAGCACAGTTTGCTGTGGACTGTGCTGAGATAGCCTTGGCCGCATGGGCGCTCCTGGTGCTGGCTGCAGCTGCATGGTCCAGGCTGT